ATCTGGCGGGGCCGCCCGCCGCCCCCTCCCCGGCGGGAAGTCCCACCTGCCGTCTACCCCTCCCCCAGCACTTACCCGCCGCGCATACAGTGCGTCGAGGTCGTCCGCCATTCGCCGCAGCTGGGCCCCGATCTCTCGGGCCCACTGCTCCTCCTCCCCCCGGACTCCCGGGGCTGCTTGGGTGGGGCCGCCCGCCAGGGCCCCCGGAGCGCTGGGCACCGGCGATTCCAGGTGCTGCTCCGCGGGCGAGAGCGAGGGCTGAGGACCTGGGAAAAGCCGAGGGGTGTGGTCAGCACCCATGACCGCTCCGGGCCCTGAGGCGTTCCCGAGGGACTAGTTAGCCAGGGCCTGCTTCTCCCTTTTCCAGGCGCCTGATTTCTCTTCTGCTCCCCGCCTCATTTCTAACGATTCCGTTTTCCCCTTTAGAGGCAGATTTGGCAGCTCCTACTCCCCAGGCACCAGAAAGCAAGACGAGGTCCTGGCTGGCCTCTGGAATCACCTGTCTCGCCCCTGTTAGTCTGGAGGGCCTTCCTTTCATCCGACCTAAGTACCTCTATTCCAAAACGGGGCCAATTTTTGCCTGCTCCATTTAACAGATGGAGGAACTGAGGCCTACCCTAAGAAGTGGCCTAAGGTCACACAGGGATACAGCCACTGATTACACCCAGTCACAAGCCTCAGGTCTCCTGCCCTCTCGTGTCCAACCACAGTGAAGCCACACCCCCGGATGTGGCAGGGGCCTGGAGACCAGAGGCCAGACTGGCTGCCTCGGCGCCCGGGCTTGGGGGCTGGGATGCGGGAGATGCCTTCCTGCCCCACCCCCTTCTCAGCTCCTCTGACGTCTCTTCCTCCAGTTACCCCAGGTCCTGGCCTGAGGGGTCCCTAAGGCCAAAAAATCAGGGCCGCGGTCTCCACACCTGGGACTCTGGCCTTGAAATCGAGGTCCCCTCTTGCCCCACTGCCAGGGAACTGAGTCACAGAAGTTTCTCTCTCGGAGCCTCCCTGGACTCGAGAGACCGGGTGGGGCTGGAGGGAAACCAGGACAGTATTTCCCCGGCCACTGAGTGCTGGCTGGGATGGGGCTACCGGGCACCACAGGGTTAACGGCCCATCAGGCAGGGGACCTTTAACCCTTCCCTTCCCAAGACTCACCCCCCCAGCCCCCCCCACTTTCCCA